AATAAGGCACTTACTGATACAGGCTATAATAGCTTTGCACACTGGACTGAATATAAGCATTTTGCACATCATGTTCCACCTACATATTGCATTTGCTCCCTTTTTGCTCATAACATTTACATATTTTTCAAATTCTGATTTGTATCCTAATAATATCTGTAGGCAGTTGGTATATATTCCTATTGTGTGCACTTATATTAATATTTATATGGCTATGTATTGCATATACTATTCTATATTTTATTTCTATGTCACTATTTTATTACACCATGACCCCGAAACAAATTCCTCCTGGTTTACATTTAAGCGCAGTATCCTGTAATTTTAGCAAAAGTTATAAAAAGAACTAACAAGATGTGACCATTTTATGTTTCTCATAAAGTGAAGGACAAATTGATGCTCTTAATATTTCTTTACTGAGTTATAAAATAATTTCATAACTACCATGACAGGGACAGCAAAGCATTCACACCAACAGACAGTTAATAGACATGTAAGCACATGTTATTTCTATATTTAAAAGCTAAATGCTAATTACCTTAAAAATCAAACTCACAAACTTACCCAACATGCATAGCGGACCTTCTTGCTGTAAATCAACAGGGCTAGCTACACAAAGTGAAAGTCTAGCAATATTTTATTTAAAAGTTAGCAAAGTTAGCAGCTATTGTCTGAATGCTACAGCAATACAGATGGATGGGCTCTGATAACCAAGCTAGCTTTTCTTAGCTTATAACTCAACACTTCACTGCTCCTGTCCAAACATCCAGCTGCAAAAGATAAAAGTGCTTAAACCCGGCGTCAGAACCTCTAATCTACAAACCAGTGGATGTCTTCGCAGTGACTTTCTCTATGTCGTACTGTATACAAGCATATACAAACATTATGCTTCCTTGCAGTTAGTTTCACAGCCCCCTCTTGATTTACATTTGATGGTAGTGAAATGCAAAGTAGTGACGCACACGAAGAAGAAAACACTAAGCAAGAAAACAATAAGCACGACAAATATTTAGTGAGTCAGCTTGGTAAATATTTCATGAATTCAAGAAACATATAACATTGTATGTCATGTTTATTTCTGTTTGTAATATTCTCAGTCTCTCCATAATCAATGTTTGACTCTTTGAATAATGCAATCATCTATGGTTCTAACACATGCAACACAATACTTCATAAAATCTGCAGGAAAACACCAACCCACACTTGCAGGGTTTATTCCGCAGTGTGTGTTGTCACTAGCCTCGCTGTGGAGAATCGGCGTGTTTGTCTACAAATGCATGCATTGTGTTCACAATTAACCAGCCTGACAGACTTGTCAGCAGTCTTCAGGGACGTGACAGGCGGCGTGGAGTTGTGAATGGGAGAGGGGCGGGTAAAGGGAAGCAGACGCAGCTCCTCTGCTGGAGGAGCGCACACAGAAAAGCGCAATCCGATGGAGCGTAGGCGGTTTACCTCACACACCTAAACACGCGTAAACATACGCACTCACTTCTCCTCAAACACTTAAACCAGTCTCCAAAGGAGGTTTTTTACCCAAAGAGAATAAAAAAAAAAAATCTAAGGACAGGATGGATTCTGCACAGCTGCTCCTTCTGGTGTTGTGCGGATACCTGCCAAAAGTAAGTCTCTGTCTCTCTTCATACTGAAACCATTAATTTATACTTTTACTACAGGCATATTAGATTAAATCCGCTGTTGGACTCTTAAAAAACATTTTCGAGTGTGTTTAATGTAATAAAACAAAAACCCTTTTACTACTATTTTACTTTTCCTGCTCTATGATATTTCCTGTTCAACTCCTCGTAAGACATCTGGCTTTAGAAAGATAAACTAGGCTGCTTTCACCCAGCAATATATGTGTGGTTGGGTAATTTCAGTAGCTGGCAACGTGAACTGTTGGCTTTTTTTTTTTTTTTTAAACGTGAGTGTAGTAAAATAAAAAGTCCTCTAAATCAAAAGATCGCACATGATAGTGGTTCAGATCAGAATTCGTTGTGAAACCTTTGTGTGTGAAATCCACCAGTCTGGCTGCTTTTTACTTTGTTCCTCCGCCTGTTTTATTTATTGTATA